TGAACATCCTTGAGATATGAATTGATTTCTTCAAATTGTGATTTGATAAGTTGTGAATGCAATTTAATTAACTGTTTTCTTCAAAACTGATTCTTGTATGTTGATTAAGGATGCATACTTAGTTTTCATGCATGAATTTGATGCTAGAATATAAATGAGTTTCGCCTAATCGTTACAAATTTATATTCATGAATAGTGAAGGTTGCTAGTCACAATCGCGTTAATTGAATTCTTGGCAAACGTATCATGCATTTATAGTTACAAATGTCTCGTCAACACTTATGATTTTCATGGAACGTAATGATCTCTGATTGTATCTCTATTATGCATTCATGTAAGGGACTTTTGGAGAATGATTTGGGTTGTCGCATGCATTCATCCTATTTATACCATACTTAGGGCCTCCGTATTTAGACCTCGTATAAATACTCGGGGGACTTAAATGTAATTATGTAATAAGGGAATGGGCAAATATGTAATAAGTAAGGAGCCCTTATTCTATAAAAGGACCCCTCACCCTCCTCATTAAGGAAGGCCATTTCTTAGGCCATGGGAAGAGTTCTCTCACACTCAGAAGCTCTCCCCCTCACTTCTCAGAGAAACACAATATCAGTGTGGACGTAGCTCAAACCTTGGGGTGAACCACAATACATCTTGTGTTATTTACATTTCTGCAGATTCACGGTTGGATTTTTGTTGTTCCAAGAACTCCGATTTTGTGCATCAACATTTGGCGCCGTCTGTGGGAAATGACACGAAAAACTATGTTGGTTCTCTCTCAATTTTTCACCTTCGCCATGAATCTGCAAAACCCAAGAACCCATAAACCCTATCCCTCACCTGCGAGTCCTTCTCCTCGTTTTCTCTCACGATGAAAGGCCTAATGCGAAGCCTCTGGCAAGCAGTAGGCCATGGCCCTCATCTCTGCGTAACTACAACTTGATTCTGATGGTCATTGAGCACTCATCCCAAGGGGAACACGCGTACGACATTTTCTCTCGCCTCCTCAAGGAGCAGATCATCTGCACCAACGGCCCCATCAACGATGACACCTCTCACGTCATCGTCGCGCAGCTTCTCTTCTTGGAATCTGAGAACCCGTCCAAGCCCAGCCACATGTACCTCAATTCCAATCGTGAATGAGTACATGGTAGTTGGGTTTAGTTACGACGAGACGATGACGTTTAAAGCTAGCCGAGCTCTACCCGGACCTGGTGGAGCTCTGTGAATAAAGCTTTTAAAGCTACAGCTTTTGTAAATGAAGCTTTTGAAGCTGGAGCTCTGTGAATGAAGCTTTTGAAGCTAAAGCTTTTGTCAATGAAGCTTTTGAAGCTAGAGCTCTATAAATGAAGCTTTTGAAGCTGATTGACATGAGTGATGCTCATGAATGTTTATGTTGAATGACATGAGTGATGCTCATGGATGTTGACATGAGTGATGCTCATGAATGTTGACATGAGTGATGCTCATGAAGTTGACATGAATGATGCTCATGAATGTTTATGTATGATTGATATGAGTAATCCCTCACTTTCATTAGAGAACACCCATTATTCATGTACGGAGGAGCAAGCCCTTATTTTATAAAAGGGACTCCCTCACCTTCATTAGAGAGCATCGCCGCCAACTGAGCAACCGCCTCGCCGCGAGCATCAACTCTAACCCATCACTTATGTATTGAGGTGTGAGCCCTTATTCTATAAAATGGACTCTCTCAGCATCATTAGAGAGCATCGCCGCCAACTGAGCAACCGCCTCGCCTCGAGCACCAACTCTAACCCATCACTTATGTATTGAGGAGCGAGCCCTTATTCTATAAAAGGGACTCCCTCACCATCATTAGAGAGCATCGCCACCTACTGAGCAACCGCCTCGCCGCGAGTATCACTCCTAACCCATCACTTATGTATTGAGAAGTGAGCCCTTATTCTATAAAAGGGACCATCAATAGAGAGCATCGCCGCCTGCTGAGCAACTGCCTCGCCGCGAGCATAAACTCTAGCCCATTATTTATGTATTGAGGAGCGAGCCCTTATTCTATAAAAGGGACTCCCTCACCTCCAATGCCACAAGCCGAGCCAACCAAGGCAACATAAGCCACAAGCAGAGCAGCCTCGCAACATGTGCTACTTCTAGTTGAGTATCATTTCAGATTGAGCATCGCCTCATATCGAGCATCAGTTCTAGACGACATCTAGTTACTTCGGCCCACACATGGACTGAATTTCAAGTCTCCAGCCAAAAGACTCTCTTGACTGAAGACTTGGGGGACTACTGTTTATACCATACTTAGGGCCTCCGTATTTAGACCTCGTATAAATACTTGGGGGACTTAAATGTAATTATGTAATAAGGGAAGGGGCAAATATGTAATAAGTGAGGAGCCCTTATTCTATAAAAGGACCCCTCATTCTCCTCATTGAAAAGGCTTCACTCTCACCCTCAGAGGCCAACTCTTAGGCCTGAAGCCCTCTCACCCTCTCACATCCCCTCTCATATTGCATAGGCTTTCTCCCTCACAATCCTCTCAGAAATACAATATCAGTGAGGACGTAGCCCAAACCTTGGGGTGAACCACGATACATCTTGTGTTATTTACATTTCTGCAGATTCACGATCGGATTTACTTTATTCCAGGACCTCCGGTTTTGTGCATCAACACATCCAATTCAATGAGTAAAGGAAAATCTAAGGGTTAATTAGTGCATCACGGTTAATCTGGGGTGTTGAGCTTCATAATTTATTGAAAAGCAATTGGAAATCGATTCATGTACAAGTGTGTCATGTGTGAAGAATGGACCTCTAGCTAATCCATCAACCATCTTATTTTCCAAAATTCGTTTTACAATCTGTTTAGTTTTACAATTTGTTTGTTTGCTTAAAATTCGTCAAAAACCCAATCACCTTTACTTTAGAGTGTCTAATTAGTTAGAATATGTCTTAGTTTGTGTTTTTAAGTGTTTTGAGTCAAGTTTCAATCAATTTTCGTCCAAGACATTCCTAGTGTCTAGTTTGAGTCTATTTAGTTGTTTTAAGCTGTTTTGAGTCATTCTAGTTAGTTTTGAGTCTTTTCAGTTTGTTTTGAGTTATTTGAGTCTAGTTAAGTGTTTTTAAAGCCTAGTTTTATGTTTTAAGGTCAGTTTTAATAGATTAGCAATCCCTCCTAATCCCCGGTTCAGAACAATCCCTACTTACATCTTTACTACAATTGTCAAAAAGAGGGTTTAATTTGTGTGTTAAGTTAATTTTCGCATCACCACTATACTACAACGACTTGGTTGTACTTTTAGAACATATTCAATACATAAAACCATGTCATGTTATAAATTTTCTAAATTTCAATCTCTCATAAGTTCTGTAATAAGCTTCTTTTTATTGAATACCTACACATCTTTTGAGAAATAATTTTCACATCTTTTTCTCCTTTCACATTTACTTTTATTCTTTCAATCATTAGATTGAATAAATAATTAAAAAAAGGGGGTAAAATAAAAAGGAAGAAGTGCAAAAGGAGGAATTAAAGTGCAAAAGGAGGAATTAAATTGCATTGATATTTTCCCATCTTTGTTACGGACCAAAATAATGTCAAAGAACAAGAGATTTGTAGCCCAAGTAAGTGATTAAAAGTATTCACTTCTTACAACTAAGTTGCGTTCAGTTTCCAGTTTCTCAATATCGTTTGTATTGTAAAATAGGATACTTATCTTTCCAAAACTAATTACATTTCCAATTTAGTTTTGGTTCATTGGGGTTTGGTTTGGGTGATTGGGGAAATTATGCTTTTTTTTTCTAACAAATAATATTATCTACACTAAGGGGAAGGGGGTGGACTTAGCCTCACAATAGGCTAGCAATAATGTGGTTCAAACTCGCCTTTGGCGAGAATCGAACCTAAGGCCTCTCACTTACAAATGAAGAGGAATACCACTAGACCATAGTACTAAGTGGTAGGGAAATTATTCTTTTAGGAATAGTGCCATTCACATACTCATTTGTACCTCCCACACACTCTTGTTAATTTTGGTCATTGATTTTCTTCAATTCATTAGGTCTGACTGCTAGAAATTGATAAGGTTGTGTGCGAAGTAAAAATTAGTGTGTACATAACACTACCCTTCTTTTAGTTGAAGTGTTTATTATGGGTTTAATTGGAGATGGCCCATTCAGTATGCTCTACTTTGTATGTTATTGCTTGGCCCATATTATTCCAACATGGTGACATAGCACACTATGCTCCTTTATTCTTTTTGTCGTTATATTGTACAAACTAAAAGAAGGCAATATATAAAATTAAGGGCCAATTTGATATTGTTCTGCTTTTTTTAAAAATTATTTTTGATGTGCTTTAAAAGTAATTATTTGTAAAATAAAGCATATAAGGTAAATGTATTTAAAAAAAATATTGTGAGTATGAAAATGAGTGTAAAAGCGTTGAAATTTTTTAACGTAAAAGGAATATAGTTGTATATAATAACAAATATGGACATGGTAGTAGGTGTGGCGGCTATGACAATAGTAGTGGTAGAGACAATGGTGGGGTATAACGATTGTGCCAGTAGTGGGGATGGTGGTGGCGGTGGCGGCAACAATGGTTGTGGATGTGATGGTGGTGCTGGTGGTGTAAGGTTCGTGTTTGGAGTGGTAGGTGGTGACGGTCACTTCATTTTCAAAGAAATAAAATGTATGGACAATAAAAAATAATGTCATTTCAAAATCTAATGAGTAGTACATGAGTTGAAAATATATATTAAATGCTTAACTCCTTTTTTTTTATTTAAGCAACTTTATTATAACCGAACGACTTATCACATATAAAAAATCGAAAAATAATTTCCGCACATTCTTCTTCTTTTTACACACATGTGCCAAGTATTTTCCATTCCCAAATCCAATAAACCTTCCCACATCCATTTATTTACCTGATTAAACAACTCGTAGTCAATCTTTTCATGGTTATCATTTAAAGTAGCACAATCTCTCTTTTTAGAAACCAAAATCTCATCCAATCTGCTCGTCCACCAACCATCCCCTCTCACCTTATCCATTCAACATCTCTCATCCCATTCCATACAAAACTCACCCCATTTGGTTTCCCTTCATCTCTACTTGTACAAACCACAAACCCCATAACAAAAAACAACATATTTCCTCGCCAAACAATCCATTTTTCATTTAACTTTGTCTAAGTATTTGTGTTTCTTCTTCTTCAGAAAGTTATAGCAATGGCAACAGCCTCAGTCACTGTCTCTCCAGCAATGGTTGCTGCCACCACAGTGGCCAAATCAAGGAGGATGACTTCATCAGCAAACAATGTGACATACATAACAGGACTCAATGCCTTCTCTGGACTCAGAGCTCAGAGCAGTGTGGCCTCCCTTGGCCTTCCACAGAGCACTGAGCCGTCCTTTGCTAGGGTTGTGAGCTCATTGAGAGCCCCATCAAGGGGCAGTGGTGGTGGTGGTGGTGCACTGTCTTCCACCTGCAATGCTGTTGGTGAGATTTTTAAGATTGCTGCCATCCTCAATGGACTCACTCTCGTCGGAGTTGCAGTCGGATTCGTGCTTCTTCGGATTGAAGCAGCGGTTGAGGAGGCGGCTGAGGCTGAGTAATAAAGAGAATTTTCAGATGCCTTTGATTATGTTTGCTTATATCAACACTGTATCATCTCTCTTTAAAAAATACTTGATTTTATGTAGCAATGACTAATATTTTCAGTTTCTTGAATTACATTGAATTGAGTGCTCAACAATCACATCTTAATTTGTGCCTGCCACACTCTGTTAAACATAATTGCAATGGCTAATAAACCATTTCAGAAACTAGGGTTCGACCAAGTTTTCGTTAGAGAGGAGGGCATGACTATGTATATATACGGCTAATAAATCATTCTATATATATGGAATGTTAATAACATTTCCCTTTGCTTATTGTTTCGGTCACTGTTCTAAAAATCTCCGTTTAACGAAGTTTTGGTCCTACCTAGGCGCTAAGCGGTTGGCTACCGCCTTGATTAGTCTCTAGGCGTTTGAAAATTAAGAAAATGCATCTAGACTCGCTTAGGCGTCCGCCTAGTCCGCCTAAACCCGCCCACTTAGACAGAAAATCAATAACTTTCATTCTGCATTTTAATTTTTTAATAAAATGTAAGAGACTTGTTGAATACTTGGATGAACACTCATTATATGCTTGTTCCTATCTTTTCAATATGTTCTACTACTTTATAATTTATATGTCATTAACTGTAAATAGGCACTTATATATAAAATATATAATAAATTTACTTAAATCCGCCTAGTCCGCCTAGGCCCCAATTTGGGCCCCGCTAGCCACCTAGGCGCTAGGCCGTAACTCACCGTCCGACTAACGTTTAGCGTCTTTTATAACCTTAGTTTCGGTTTCTCTTTCAGTGTCTCTAAATCTTTCTCATTCGACCTCCTAGGGCAACCGGCTTCTTGATGGCCAGAACTCTTACAAGAATCACATTTTTTGGGGTTTTATTTTTGCATTCTTGGCCATTGCTGCACAAAGCACCACCAGTTCCTTTTCGATGCTTCAAAGTATGAGTGAGAGAAATAAGAAGAAAGATAAAGCATTAAGCAAGACATATGTGTCATATTCTTTCGGATAAGGGAGGCAGACGCAGTGCCAGCCACAACAACACGCAGATTGGAAGCTTTATTGCTTTTGCTTGTCGGTTGATGATTCGCGCATTCACTCACATCCCCTCTAGTTGTCACACTTGCACAAACACGGGATTCATGAGAGCATTTCCACCGGAGGTGGAATAGCCCAGCACCTAGTAAAAAAATCAGGCTGGGAGGCTGTCAATCCACTCCAGTCCACAAATTTACCTGGCACCACCCTGTGCCAGTCTCCAGACCAGCCCATTTTTGACTGACCTTGGGACCGGCCTATTTGGCTGGCGCGTGCCTTTCACTTGCGCGTAGGCGCGAGTAGGAGACAGGAATGCAGGCAGCGGGGCCCGCTGTCAGCGGATTCCCCCATCACCCGGATCATGGCGACGTGGCCCTCTCTTTGCTGTTGGATTTCCAACGGCTGGTTTTTCTAGACCATTGGATTTCCAACTGTAAAAAAAATTTGAATTTCACTTTTAAATTGGACTGTCCGATCACAAATCAACGGTCCACGTTCCCCCTCCCAAAAAAAGGCCCAACGGTCAGAATTATGATTGTTGGCCACCAGTGGCGAAGCCAGGAATTTTCGGCAGGAGGGGCGAAATTTAAAAGAGTAAAAGGTTCATAAAAAATATAGACAACCAAATCTTTGTACATAATATACAATATTAATATCGTTCATAACTACCTGGAATACTCGAAGGAGGATTTGGAGTAACTAAAATATTCGAAGAAAGACTATCCGGAAATATTCAAATAAGGACTATCCGTTGTACCCGGAATATTTGAAGGAGGATTTAAACACTGTTTTTTATAGTATTGTTACGTACATTACGTAATTGTACAATAGAAACAAAATAGATAAAAAGCATATTACGCTAATTCTATATCAATTAAACAACTAATGCAAAACACCACTTACAAATTGTAGGTATTATAGTAGTCAAACAATGTGCATAGTTATTATTTTTATATAAGTATGATAAATGTTTTATATAAAAAATAGATAAGTATACCTTGTTCATAAAAGGAAAAAAAAAAAACAAATAAAACATAAATAAATAAATAAAAGAATGAAAAATTAATTAGAGATGCTTGGGTTCAAATGACGTGTGAGCCATAAATGTCAAAGGATTTGTTCTATTTGAATAAAACGTCATCATCCACTTTAAGTGCTCAGCCAAACGACATCGTTTGCTAAGATTTGTTTTATAATATTGCTTCTTCTTCCTCCTCTTGACCTGGCCGCTATTGCTGCTCGGGTTTTGCCCTTCCTCACAGGGTGGTTTCAGGCAGTCTGGGTGGGTAAAATGGGCTTCGGTGAAGGGGTTTTTCGAGAGCCGGATGGGCAACTTCCCACTTTTTTCCATAACGTGTGTCTGCCTATGGGAGCAACAAAAGTTGCAGAACATTCTTACAGGTTTTCCGACTAACGAGAGGGGCGGCTACACGCTCCTGGCCTTATTTTCCGACGAGAGGAGGGGCGGACCCAGAATCCAGTCCTATTTTCCGGCGAGGGGAGTGGCGGTCGCCACTCCTCGCCCTCACGTTGCTTCGCCACTGTTGGCCACGTGGCAGCTCGTTGGCTGTTGAATTGGAATATTTTTCAAATCCAACGGTCTAGATTAATTAACAATATTAAAATTTATTTAAAAAATACAGAAAAATTTAAAAAAATTTAATTTTTTTTCTATAAATACCTAACCCTCATCTTCCACTTTCTTACATCACATTTCAATATTTTCTACACTTTCCACACTTTCTACATTTCAATATTTTCTACACTTTGAGAGAAAAAAAAAAGACTTCGTGGAAGCTCATTGAAGATGTTACATTGTGTGAATGTTGGGTTCACATTACTCATGACCCGATTACGAGTAATGAGATGGATAAGCGAGAAATGTGGAGTAAAATTACAAAAGCGTTTTGCGATGTACATGGAAAAGACGCCAAAACTAGTCAAGGTCTTCAAGGTCGTTGGAAAAAACTCAACGCATCCTTTACTTGTTGGAAAAACGCCATTTCTCATGCTTTCGGTAATCTGGGTAGTGGGACAAGTTTAGCAGATCAAGTGACAATATTTTTATTTATTTATATGCATTCCACCCGCATCAATATTTTAATTTATTTAATTTCTTATGTAATTTTTATGCATTTCACCTGCATTTTTTAATACTATCTCATCCCACATTTTTATAGACACTATAAGCACAAGCATTCTACAATGCAAAGAACCAAAACAAATCATTCAACAAATGGGAATGTTGGCAAATTGTCAAAGATTGCCCTAGATACAAAATTGTGGCAACCGGTCCAGAAGTTGTCATGCACGGCATGGGTCTACATAGTTCACCAGAAGCAGACACAACCAAACAAGAAGCCAACACATTTGAAGACACGGAAGGGACGCCTGAACAAGTGCCGGAGACCCAACCGACTCGTCAGTCCCTCAGGCCTCAAGGTAAAAAGGCATCAAAGCAAAAAGGTAGTTCTTCCAAAAGTGACTACACTAAATATATGGAAGAACTTGCTCGCCAAGGTGAACTGAACATAGCACGGGAAAAGGCTAGAGATGAGGAAAAGATGCTGCTATGGCATCAATAATAGCAGCTACTAAGGCCAGTGATGCGGCGGCTGAGAGACAAAGAGAAATAGTTAATTGAGAGAATGAGATGATTAGAGAAGCACTTCATCGAGAAAATGAGATGCTTAAAGAAGAAAGGATGACTCAAGCAGATCATGACATTATGAACAAGCCTCTAGTAGGACTATCTCCGAATTCAAAATATTTTTGGACATCCTAGCAATGAAGGCGTGCAAGAGATGCCAAAACAAGTCGAGGGGGTTCTAGCTACAGAAATCCTAGCAATGAAGGTCCTAGCACCACATATCCTAGCTCCACAGACTTTGTATAATTTCGTATTTCTTTGTAGTACTTTATTTAATTTCTTATGTAATTTTTATGTAATTTCTTATTTATTTTTAGAACTTTATTTAATTTTTTTATGTAATTTCTTATTTATTTTTAGAACTTTATGCAATTTCAAATTTATTTTTTGTACTTTATTTAAACACATCAAATAAGATTACATAAACTCACCAAATAAGATTACATTAAACTCACCCAATTAAAAAAAAACACCAAATAAAATTACATAACCTCACCATATAAACTTAAAAAAAACACACTAAATAAGATTACTTAAAAAAAAAACACTTTATTCTTCAACCACAAGCCTCATTTTATTTATCTTCACCTTCATGCAATCCCCACTGGTGCTCAATCAAGTCATTCTGGCGGGTTACATGCCAGTATGGCTCTTGCACATCAGTGTACCGTTGGACGATCAATTCATTGTAACATCCATCCCGTTCCAACGGCTCGTGTTGCACGGGATCTTTGGTCCGGTCATGAGCACAGTAGATACGTGTTCTTGAGTTGTTCATATATTCATCGACAACATCATAATCATACTCATCTTCCACAATCATGTTATGGAGAATAATACACGTCATCATGATGGATCAAAGAGCCTCGACATCAAACATTCTAGCTGTAGCTCTGACAATCGCCCAACAAGCTTGCAGGATGCCAAAACAACGTTCCATATCCTTCCTACACCCCTCTTGACATTTTGTGAAGTGTTTTTCTTTTTCAGTTTGTGGATGTGGCGTTGTTTTGACAAACGTAGCCCACCTTAGGTAAATACCGTCTGCAAGGTAGAATGGTCTGTCGTATTTAGTGCCATTAACCCAATATGTGCATTTCTGCTATTTTCCTTGCAGCAGATCATCAAACATTGGAGATTGAGCAAGGACATTTAGGTCATTTTGAGCTCCTGGAACATAAAAAAAAGCATGCCAAATCCATGTATCAAATGAAGCCACCGCTTCCAAAATGATACTTTTGGCTCATTTTCTGTTGCCATAACCTCCTTGCCACGCACTTGGACAATTTTTCCAAGTCTAGTGCATTCAGTCGATGCTTCCAATCATGCTAGGGAAGCCTCGCATCTCACCCTTCCTCAGAAGCCTTCGCATGTCCCTTGGCGTGGGTTTCCGGAGGTACTCATTGGTGTACAGGGCTTCAATTGAAGAGCAAAACCGCATTAGGGACTTTAGAACAGTTGTTTTTCCCATCCTTGCGATCTCATCCACTTGATCTACAGATGCTCCATATGCAAGCATTCACAAGGCAGCCGTAATTTTTTGCTCTGGAAGAAGACCTAGAACACGAAAAGCATAATCTTTTTACACAAAATATGGATCATGGTTGCAAACAGCACTCATGATTTTATGGAACAAATTTCGTTGCATTCTAAAACGACATCTAAAAACATGATCAAGGAATACGCTGTTGGGAATAAAATAATCTTCCAAGAGATCTTTACCTCATCTTTCCCTTTTTCTATCGAAGTTTGCAGCACGTCTGGGTTTGGCTATTTGACCCACAACTTCTATGACACGGCGGGAATGTGAGGCCCTCTGCCTTCTATGGTCATCATCTGAGTCCTCCTCCATTGCGAAAGCCTCATCTCCACCTCCACCTTCCTCGAGATTGATCAATTCTTCTTGTTGTGCCAACAATCTTTTTTGTTGCTCCACAAATTGTTTATGCACTCTCCTTGAAGAAGACATTGTAAAAAAAACTCAAGATTTGAAAACGATGAAGAAGGATTCTAAGCTAAAAAGAAGGATTGAGTTTGGTGTGAGGATGGATGTAGAGATGTAGGGTTTATATGGACAAAAAAAAAGAAAGGATGAGATTCTGGACAATGCCACGTGGCACCTCGGGATTGGTTGAAAATCTTATTGTAATCTTGGCTAAATTATTGTAAACAGATAGTGACACGTGGCGCATCGGGATTGGTTGCAAATCTTAGTGGAAATCTATTCACAAAATAGTACGTTCGGATAATGACACGTGGTGTGACGAGATTGGTTAAAAATCTTATCCAAAATTAAAACTATTTTATTTATTTATTTTTTTATAAAAAATTTAAAAAAATTTTAAATGGGCTGGGTGCCAGCGCATTTTGTAGGGGTGGAGAACGTTTATGCCAGTGCATTTTTTTAGGGGTGGAGATGTTTTGGCCTATTACTGTTCATTGGGGTCTATTACTGTTTACTTGAGTGGATAAATGCGCTGAGTGCTGGCGCAAAGTCTTAGGGGTGGAATTGCTTTGAGCGTTCATCGTCACCTTTTCGGTTTTCTCCATAAGCAATGGGAAATGATTTCAGCACACCATTGTTCTATTATACAAGCCTTTGTTTGCTTTTGTTCCTTCATCTTACTTTGATTTGTTCAATCTAAAAGGCAAAAATGTTAGATAAGCATTTGTTACAGTAAAAGAAATATCAAAACGGCAAAAATGTTAGATAAGCATTTGTTACAGTAAAAGAAATATCAAAACGATCCTCGATCCAACCTCATTTTAACAAATTATTGATCACATAACTATAAATCGGAAGGGATCGAACCCTCGACTTATCATGTTCCCGAAAGGAAGGCTTGCCCCAAATAACTACCAAGTTTTCTAAGGATGTACTTCCTTGAAATCATTTATGGCTATAGGGACATCTGCTCCTCTACTCTGGAGTTGCTCATACTCTATTGACAGCTCCCTTGGAATGCATTTGCCTGCAAATTTCAGGCTTGTGCATCCTGTGAATATAAAAAATCCCACAAAGTATCCAACTAAATTGCAAGTTTGCCATCCATCATTCATCATTCGTTCATCCCTATATCAAGCTCCGACGGCCCTTTGGATCAACGACGTCAACAAATCCGCACAACTGTTTATCCCAAGATCAAGCCCCGAAGGCCCTTTGGATCAACAACATCAAATCTACCCATTACAAAGATAGAATCAGAGGCTAAATTTGTAGAAGAGATTGTAACCCCTAAATCATTAATACAAATATTATTTTGTACACATGTTCTTGTCTTGTTCATCGCAGGAATTTCCGTGTTTACACATGGTTGCAAACAACACTCATGATTTTGTTGAACAAATTTCATTGCATTCTAAAATGACATCTAAAAACATGATCAAGGAATACGCTATTGGGAATAAAATAATCTTCCAAGAGATCTTTACCTCGTCTTTCCCTTTTTCTATCGAAGTTTGCGGCACATCTGGGTTTGGCTATTTGACCCACAACTTCCATGACACGGCGGGAATGTGAGGCCCTCTGCCTTCTATGGTCATCATCTGAGTCCTCCTCCATTGCGAAAGCCTCATCTCCACCTCCACCTTCCTCGAGATTGATCAATTCTTCTTGTTGTGCCAACAATCTTTTCTGTTGCTCCACAAATTGTTTATGCACTCTCCTTGAAGAAGACATTGTAAAAAAAACTCAATATTTGAAAACGATGAAGAAGGATTCTAAGCTAAAGAAGGATTGAGTTTGGTGTGACGATGGATGTAGAGATGTAGGGTTTATATGGACAAAAAAAAGAAAGGATGAGATTCTGGACAATGCCACGTGGCACCTCGGGATTGGTTGAAAATCTTATCGTAATCTTGGCTAAATTATTGTAAACAGATAGTGACACGTGACGCATCGGGATTGATTGCAAATCTTAGCGGAAATCTATTCACAAAATAGTACGTTCGGATAATGACACGTGGTGTGACGAGATTGGTTAAAAATCTTATCCAAAATTAAAACTATTTTATTTATTTATTTTTTATAAAAAATTTAAAAAAATTTTAAATGGGTTGGGTGCCAGTGCATTTTGTAGGGGTGGAGAACGTTTATGCCAGCGTATTTTTTTAGGGGTGGAGATGTTTTGGCCTATTACTGTTCATTGGGGTCTATTACTGTTCACTTGAGTGGATAAATGCGCTGGGTGCTGGCGCAAAGTCTTAGGGGGTGGAATTGCTTTGAGCGTTCATCGTCACCTTTTCGGTTTTCTCCATAAGCAATGGGAAATGATTTCAGCACACCATTGTTCTATTATACAAGCCTTTGTTTGCTTTTGTTCCTTCATCTTACTTTGATTTGTTCAATCTAAAAGGCAAAATTGTTAGATAAGCATTTGTTACAGTAAAAGAAATATCAAAACGATCCTCGATCCAGCCTCATTTTAACAAATTATTGATCACATAACTATAAATCGGAAGGGATCGAACCCTCGACTTATCATGTTCCCGAAAGGAAGGCTTGCCCCAAATAACTACCAAGTTTTCTAAGGACGTACTTCCTTGAAATCATTTATGGCTATAGGGACATCTGCTCCTCTACTCTGGAGTTGCTCATACTCTATTGACACCTCCCTTGGAATGCATTTGCCTGCAAATTTCAGGCATGTGCATCCTGTGAATATCAAAAATCCCACAAAGTATCCAACTAAATTGCAAGTTTGCCAATGCTCGTGCCCTAAAATCAGCCTTACTTGTCCCACAAGTTACCGCTCCAAGCATGCTATCACCGTTACCCTCAACAAAATGGACAGCGCAACCCTTCGGAGCAAACCTAGAAACCCGTAGCATGAATCCCATGTTCATAAACCAGCAACCTTGAAAAACAACTGAAATCGAAAGAACAAGTGCTGCAGGAAGATTGGTTCGGAAACAAGTTGCTGTTACAGCTGCCATGACGGAAGCAAACACAATGAGCTGCAACAACCAGTGGTAATGCCCTTCAAGCCCAACATGGTCGGCTGAGTGGAAATAGAGTAGGAAAAGCTCTTGGCAAAAAACAGAGGCTACTAGTATTCCAACGACCCGGATAGGGTGTGAAATGAATGAATCAACTCAGCACAAAGCATAAAGGCTGCAAATACGATGAGGTGGAGGAACATGGTTGCATGCTCCAAGTTATGGAGCTTGAAAGAGAATTGAAGAAAAGGGAAGTCTATAACTTGCATCAGAATTGCCAATACAGAGAAATATAAGATAAAAATGAGCTCCAAGTGTTTGAGTTTCGAAAGTGGGGAATTGAATGGGTACCAAAACCTTATCGTAAAGTTATTAGGGCCTTTGAGAAAATAGGATCTGATAGTGTTGACGGTGTGCCATAAATCAAGGAGGGTGAGAGCAAAGCCGGGTACTATGTGTCCGACAAAGGTCCCCGCTGAAAGCTAATCTTCACAGATCAGGGTTTTCGGTGCATGATCTGCAGCAGATAGAGCTTAATTCACAATAATCTCCAAACATACCTTAAATACTTGAAGCTACAGTAGTGGCAGAGGACACTAATTAAAAGCACTTGGTGCATGATGCATGTGTTTCCACAAACAAAATAATTCACAAAACGACACTTGGCTTAGTGCGACAACAAAAATTAATATCTGACATGGAAGTGTCACCCCATGAGAAAATTAACGGTGTTACTTCAAGCTCACGAAAATTACAGTATACTGAGATTCCAAGCTGATTAGTTTAAGTTAGTGCTTATTAGTCGATTTGCAAGTAGTGGAGAGTGAATTGGTTTTCATTATAGTGTGTGTGGCAATTAAGATGTTCCCACTAGTTAAAAATATATCTTCATTCCTGTGGTCCTTATGCGACTAAGGAACTGTAAAATGAAGGTAAAAGTTGTAAGATTCCTGGGATATTACCTTGCCACTGTACGAGTGCATGGAAGATGGTCATCTTCTGAGTTCAACTCTCAAGCGAAAAGTTGAACTTCTCGGAACCTAGAAAAGAACAACAGTTTTAAGTTTCACAGAGATCAAATTTTCGGATTTGATTAACTAGGGCATAGAACACATTTATATCAAGCACCAGTACCTCAAACCGTTACTCATGTGAAATCTAAGCAAATACCAGCAAGAACCAAGAAGTTGGCTTCGATTATGACTAAGATATAGCAGTGGCCTGCATTTCAGTTTTCAATTTATCCCAGGAAAACGGAAAAAAGGAACAATTCACAATCTAACCAAACTAACATAGTGATTGCAATTTAATGCAGTTTCAAACCTTCTGTTCCAGGTAGAATTGAAAAGGAAAAAGGAATAAAGGATGTGGCTGCTCCCAGATATGTATAAAGATCATCAACAAAGAGTATCTAGATACAATGAAATTCCAAAACGCATTTATTGAGCACATATGACAGACTTTACTGCTATAAATTAACTTGATGACAATACACTCTTTATGGGGACGCATGATACATCGTTTACAGTCAAACAAAATTCAAGTCTAATGTATGTACATGGTATATCTCATAGCTTACTACTCATGAATCTGAGATGAGTATCTCAAGTCTTCTTTCCTTGCGCATGCCACTAATAATCAAACCATACGTGTAAGAATCCAGCTCAACGCCTTTATCTTTCAATGCACTAAAGAGCATCTGAGCCCTTCCAACTCTCCCAATCGAACAATATCCATGAATTATAGTATTATAAGTGACAACATTCGCCTGAATGCCCAAAGTCTCCATAAACCCAAGAAACTCCGTTGCCTTCTTCAACCTCCCTTCTTTACACAACACATTGATCATTATGTTAAAGGTAGAAACACTTGATTTGATCTTCAACCTAAACATCTCGGCATACAAAACCCACGCCCTATCTATGCGTTATTGCACGTCAAATTATTAGGTAAAACACCTTTATCTTTCATCAAGTAAAAGCACTCAAGAGCCTCATCAGCCTTCTTCATTTCACAGCACGCCTGCACCAGCAAATCAAACCCGAGGCTGCTTTTCTCACTCAGGCGCTCTCTTGAAAGCGCCAATGCCTAAAAAATCTCTCTAACAGTGGCACTGCCACCACCAACCACTTGCTTCAAGATCGAATGAGCGTTTTGGGGAAGGTTGGGCGACAATGGCGATGGCGAGGCAGCGGATGTCGACATCCAGGCGGTGGAAACTCGATTTGGGAGATGAATTTGAGGAAAAGTTCGGGGCTTTTGCGGAGGTCGAAGAGGGCGTCAGAGATTAGGGAAGGGGGAATGTTGGGAGAAATGTGTTTGATGAAATACCACTGAGAAGACTGGCTGGAGGTGAGGAGGATGTGGTGGGTGATTGGTAGAGGGGAGGTTGGATGAGCGAGGGAAGAGAGAGGTGCGGCGGAGGGAGGTGGCTTCTGGGGGAAATGGGTCGGAGCTTGTAAGGTTTTTAGTGTCTGAGGATTTAGAAGCTTGGGGGATTTCATTGTTGCTGAGAGAGAGTGGAGGGAAGAGAAGGCGCACGCGAGGGATCTCGAGTCTGAAACTGACGACGGCTTAAGTAGTTAAGTTTAACATTAGACCATTGTCACGCCTTGTCAAAATTCATTTTTGTAGTTGATGTGACAAAATAAAACTTTGTAAAGTCCCATATTTTAACCGAAATGTCAAATTAAAATATTTTTTTTATTATTTATAAAATCAAGTAGACCCATAATTTAATAATAAAATAATTAATAAACGAAGAAAATTAAACAATAATATGGGCCCAGACTATATGACAAACAAAAAAGTTTTGACTTGCCTTTAAATTTTGGCAAGAGAATGTCAATTCATCTAAGATTTTGGCATCTCCGTTGGAAGTTCTCTTGTATTTGTTGGTAATCAATAAAGCTTCCATTGTTAGAGAGTTACTCCTATGTTGGACGAACTCTGAAACCGTTATGTTTTGTTTATTGCTTGATTGTTTTTTGTTTAGTTTACAACAAGTGGTATCAAGAGCTTAGGTTCCTACGTGGGTTGTGACTATCAAGCAATGATGAAGATTGGTGATTGTACTAGTAATGATGATGTTGAAGAAAAGTCAAGCACTAGTGGAACCAAGACAACAATTGAAAGTGCTAGGTTTGAAATTGAGAAATTTGATGAAACGAACAACTTTGCTATGTGGCAGTATGAGGTTCGAGATGTCCTAATACAACAAGGTTTGATTGTTGTGTTAGGAGACATGCTGTTTTCGATGAAAAAAGAAGAATGGAAAAGATTGAATGCTCATGCATATTCTGCAATTCGGTTATGCTTGGGAAAGCGTCAGAAGTATGGTGTGATGAACATAACTTCTGCGAAGGAATTGTGGGCTGCATTGGAGACAAAATAGATGAAGAAGAGTGCAGAGAATCGACTACACCTCAAGAGCAAGTTGTACAGGTACAAGGAGGGCACGAAGATGATTGGCCATCTAGAAGAGTTTAACAAGCTTCTAGTTGAACTAGCAAATCTTGAAGAGATAATCAAAGATGAAGACAATGCCTTGATCCTGATGAACTCATTGCCTGAATCCTATCAGCCTTTTGGGACTACATGGATTTATGGTAGGGAGACAATTAAGTATGATGAAATATCAAGTGCTCTTATGAATCATGAGGTGAGACACCTTGATAGACAAGAAAGGAATAACTCTGAAGCTTTGATGGTGAGAGGGAGATCGAAAGAAAAGAAAGGTTTGTACAGGAAAAATAATAGGTTTCGTACTAGAGGAGTCTCAAAGAATAGGAAGTTCTTGGACAAAGATGAGTGTGCGTTTTGTCATGAAAAATGATACTGGGAGAAGGACTGCCCTAAAATCAAAGAAAAGACTAGAAAGAAGAAGGATGACTCGGAAGCAAATATGGTTGAAGTAGAGGATGAGGAATTTGTCTATGCCTTAATGCTTCCAATTGCATCGAGGAATTTGTATATGAAAGAGTGGGTGCTCGACACAGGTTGTACCCATCACATGACTTCTCAAAGGCATTGGTTTTCAAGCTTCAAAGTTATGAATGGAAATGTGTATATGAGAGATGATAACCCATGTACAACTTAAGGAATTGGAAGCATTAGGATCAAGCATCATGATGGTATGATTCAAGAATTGCATGGTGTAAGGTACATCCCAAATCTGAAGAAAATTTTGATCTCACTAGCTACTCTCAAGTCATAATGCTACAAGTATTACTTTGATAATAACATGCTCAAAGTTTCTAAAAGAGCCCTTGTCATAATGAAAGGGCTTCGGAATGGCTTACTTTATATGCTACAAGGAAAGATTTTGGAAAATGGAGTGCCTATGGTAGCTGATCAAGTGCAAAGTGATAAAAATGACTTATCTGCATTATGGCACATGAGGTTGGGACATGTAGGAGAAAAAACATTGCAAGGATTGATCAAGCAAGGGTGTTTAAAAGGAGCAAAAATTGGAAAGATAGAGTTCTGTGAGCATTGCGTTCTTGGCAAACAAACAAAGGTAATATTTTACTTAACTGTTAATCAAACGAAAGGGATTTTGGACTATGTTCACTCTAATGAATAAATTATTTTCTTGAACATATGGCTATTCAAACCGATGTAAAGAAAATGGGGGACAAACATTATAGGCTTGCTTTCAATAAGCTTGATAAGAGCATATTTATGCGACTTAGTTAGCTTGTTTTCTTGCATTTTCATAGTTAGTTTGTGTTTATTATAGTGATTTAAGTTATTTTCGTGTGTTTGTAGGTCTAATTGGCAAAGTTGGCAAGAAAGTGTATTTTGAAGCATTTTAGAGCAATTTTGGGCTGAAATGGATTGCATGGATGTGGAGCACAAGGAATGGATGTTTTTGAAGATAAAATGAGGTGAGGAAGTTGCTAAAGAGATGGAGAAATTAATTCAAGACTTGGAAGATGAGTAATCAGATGCAAGAGGGCCTAAATCCCTTCTAGAAGGCCTATTCCTTCTCCTATACATGTGCCGCACCAACCTTTCTAGAAGCCCTAGAAAGGTTGCGCCCCAAACCCTTCTAGAAGTCCCAAAATCTGGCACAAAACATTTTCTTTCTAGAAGCCTAAAAGAGTGGCGTCTATTCCCTTTCTAGAAACCTTAAAATCTGCCAAAAACCCTAGTTATTTTCCCCCTTGGATTGGGCCAAGCCTTGTGCTGCAAACCCTTTGCCTTTTCCTCCAGAAATTCAGCCAAACCCTAGCCTATAAATATATGTTTTTAGCCAAATTTCGCACACCACCCCCCATATAATTCAAAACACATTCAGCCGCATATTTACACCATTCTACACCCTTTGCCGCAACCTTGGAGAAGAAGAGGCTTTGCCGTGGCTTCCATTGGAGAAGGAGGACCTTGTGCCGCAAGCCACCTGCAACCATTGGAGTTCTAAGAGTTCTTTCTTCCCTCGTTTCGTTTCCATGTTTATTTTCTATTGCTTTTCAATTGTTATGAACATGTGGAACTAATTCCTTTTTAGTTAGAGGTGAATTCAAAGCCATGGACATATGTTTAATATGAATTGATTACTTTCAGTTATTGTTTCGTAAAACATGAATGTGATTTACTTATTTGTTTGATTGATAACTTATTCTTGTGTATTGATTAAGGATGCATACTTAGTTTGCATGAATGAATCTGATGCTAAAATATAAGGGAGTTTCACCTAATAGTTACAAACTTATATTTACAAGTAATGAAGGTTGCTAGTCACAATTGTGTTAAGTAAATTCTTGGCAGGAGTATCATGCAGTTCATAGTTACAAATGTCATGTCAATGCTTATGATTTTCATAGAACGTAATGATTTTTGATATGTATCTCTATCATGTTGTTCATATAGGGAACTTGATAAGAATAATTTGGTTGCGATGCGTTGTCCATTCAATTCAATGAACTTAGAAAAATCTGAAAGTTAATTAGTGCATTCACAATTAATTTGGGGCATTGTC